AGAGAGAGAGAGAGAGAGAGAGAGAGAGAGAGAGAGTAGAGATGGAGAGAAAGAAGAAGGAACGGAGAAAGGGTGTGAAGGGAGAGAAAACGAGCAGAGAGAGGCAAGAAAGAGCAAAAAGAATGCCAGGGGAGGAGATCAAGAAGAGAGACTTGCGAGAGATAGGAGGATGGGGAGGTAGAGATAAAGAGAAAAGCGAAAGAAAGCGGGAGGAGGAAATAAAGTGAGCGAGAAGAAGCGACTCGGTGATGAAGAGCGTATCGAGGCACTATTTTACACATACCGACCTCATTCCACGGAGGTAGCGGCGGCCAGGAATTACGAACGCGGAAGAGGCGAACGGGAAGGTGGGGAGGTTGCGGAACGAGTTCGTAGCTCCCGCGGGGTGAAAAAGGGGGTGAAAAGCGGGGAAAGAAGGGGCGAAGAAGAGGACGCGCGCGTCTGCGCTCAGTTTAATAAATGCAGTCTTCCTTCCGTTCCGTTTCTTGGCTCGACTTGGCTTCGCCGATGCGGCCGACGAGAAACTGGCACCCTCCTCCGTTCCCTGGCCGCGGTGGTTATCCGCTTCTCCCCCGCGTCATCGGTCGTGCATCTCGTCTCTTTCTCTATCCCTCTCTCTTCCCCTCTTCGTCGTTGCATCGCGTTTCCCTCATTCGCATGCAGAGCGAGGAACAGAGGACCAGTCGAGCGAGCGCGGCGCTCATCTCGTTTCCGGCTGCGCGGACCAAATCTACAGTTGGCGTGATTTTTATTTAATTCCCACCCCCGTCCCACCCTCCGCATCGACCCCAGTGGTCGGGCGTTCTTTCCAGGGAGAGAGGAAGAGAGAATTCCCGGGATATCTATCTCTCTCGACCGTGTCGCTTGCGTGCCGCACGTGCGAACGCGTCGCGCGATAGAATCGCAGATGAGAAACGCCGTAAGATGGAAAGTACCAATTCCCAAATACGTACCTAATCCTGGACAATCTTATTGTTTTAATTTTTAAATATTTAAATTTTCAACATAGGATATATGTATATATTCAATGTATATATATGTACTTTTTGTTAAAAGTTTAAAACATGTTCATATTTAAAAACTAAAATAATAAAAATATCCAAGATTACACTGTATAAATATCTACAAAATAAAAAATATTTATTCAAATATTTATAAAAAAATCACATATTTACTTATATTAACATACATAATTTTACATTGAGAAAAAGTTACTTATTAAAATTCTTCACAAAATCCAAAAACAGAACTTAGATTTAAGTAAATTTAGATTATTAGTATCCAGCAAAAATGAATATTTTTTATTTTTTAGATATCTTGTCTCTTAGTGTAGATGCGTGTCGGGACATTGATACTTTTGTCTTATGTTAATGAAACAACGGTTAATCGTTTTCGCAAATCTTTTTGCGATTTTTTGTTTATTGTCTTTGCGGCGTAAACCTTCGGCGTTTAGCACAAGAGCCATAATGAGATGTTCTGCTAGGAAAAGCAAGCCTACTAGGACTATTAAGAAAAGCAGAAGTTTGACATTAGCGAGAGATTTTTTTGATTAATTTTTTGTTACTGCAGTTATTCCAGTCAACAGTCTTATAACTGTATTTGAATCTTTGGGAGATCATTTCGATTGTCGTTTTGCTCATATATGTGAGAATAATACGTAATAGAGAGGATGATGGAAATAATTCATTTAAAGTTAAAACGAGACGGAAAAAATGATTAGCAGTGTTATTATATTCCTTCTCGTGACTTTAGTTTTAAAACTAGTTTTTTACTTACTTCTGCCTTAATTAAGATAAATCCGATGGTTGGAAACGAACGAAATGGAGATATATGTTCGCGGAGTTACCAGGATGCGGTTGTACTTCAAAGTGAAGATGAAGCGGAAGATAATACACGCAGTATCACGATGAATCACAAGTAGGAACAAAGTTTTGAATTAAACTGTCCATTTTGCTGCTGCTAATTGGTCCAATGTGGCTTTACTTGAAATAAAACGGGATCCATCTTCAGATATAATGAATTCTTTTATGCATTAGATCGTCAAACGTAACCGAACGTGCTTAAAATGTCAATTTACACGCCTGAAAGCGCGTCCATATGTATTCGCATATTTGAAAGATATATTATGGAATTTCAATAGTACTTCTGGTGAAGGCGAGACGCTTGCGAGCTGCGATAAATCGATATAGCCGTCGCGCGAGAAGATCGTTCACGCCGGCCCGGTGTAAGCTCGTCCACCGTCGAACTTGCGGGCTGTAAGACGTGGAAACGGAGAGAGGAAAGAGCAAGAAAACGAGTAAACCAGGGGGACACCGCAAAGTGGTCGGATGCTTTTTCCGAGTGGTCGAGCGAGCGAATCGACTGTTGGGGACGGGATTGGCCGCGGCCCTTTTCGGCGCGCCGGAATTGCCGAGGGATTTATCGAGCAGCGTTCTTACCGATTGGAGTCCTCGAGAAGCTATCGAGTTAGAAGAAACGGCCCGGCGAGACAGGAACGGCGAGGACGTAGCTGTTGCCGCATGATCGATCTTATTAAAAGCAAGAGGTTTACTTGTAGTAATAACTGCCCTCGATTTGAGCAAGTTAACCGCGACATTAATGTAAGAAACCGCATTCGAGCGAGGTTGATTTTAAAGTAAAAGTACCAATGTCTGAACATTAAGTACATTGAACATTCTTATTGTCTTGGACTTTAAATATGAATATTATAAACTTTCAATTTAGAGTATATACATGTAGAAAATTTAAATATATTCGTATCTATAAAGACTAAAAAACAAGAATATCCAGAGTTAGGTGCCAGTATTATTAGTGCCCAAGCATTGATACTTTTATTTTACAAATTTTTAAAATTGTTTATTACGCAATTTGGAGTATAAAAAAGAAAAAATAGAAAGAGAAAAAAAGAAGGGAAGTAAATGAACACCGCGTGATATTTTAAGCGACTAAGTCAATGAATAAACGTGCAAAATTCAATCTAGTTGTTTCTCTGCTGGAGGTACGCCTCCCTTTGTTGAGAAATAAAAACACGCCGATCCCGGCTGCGCTGTGGATAAGGGTTAAATTCCGTCGTGGAGCCAACGCGAGAGGGATTAATCCCTTTTCCGCGTGCCACCGAGTACGCCCGTGTTGACCGCGCTACGTTTTAATTAGGCAAATTTTCGTCCCGTGGCCATTTGTCACGATAAAGCCTCTCGTCCGGACGCGACACCCTTTCGCCGTCCCGAAAAATCCCCGACTGACCCGGTCACGTACGCCGCGCACCGGTATTTATCATTTTCTCTAGCACGAGCTTTCCGTGCTTGGCAGACGGCGTATTTTTCCCGAGCCTTGTACGGGCTTCCGCGGGAGAGGACGGGGAATTATGATTATCGCGCGACATCGCCGGGCCATTATACATTTTCGGCTACTTCTCTTGTTTCTTTTCTCCGGATTATCCGACGGAAATTTCTCTCCACCTGTTTCGGGAATACTTTTAGAAATAACGACGATCGCCTGGACAGCCTTTGAGAAAGACTTACGCTTCTAACATCAAAATTTAGTTTGTGGTTGCAATATCTTAATTGCAATTCACTAGACTTACAATAAAGTGATCGTGTGAAAATAAAAGAACTGAACATACAAAAAAAATTGGCAGAATATTGTCTTCGATTTTAATATGCGCAGTGATGTCGACGAATTTGGACGAATTTTATACATAATAATAATATATTTGTCCAAGTAGATAAGACATTTGTCACAGAATGGATGTTTGTAATTATTGAAAAAAGAAGCAAGAAGAGTGTTGTTCGAGGAGGAAGAGCGAGTTCTCGTAATCGTTTCGCGACGCGGGGGTAAAAGGATCAGAAGGGGTGGATTCTCTTTACATCGTTTCACAGAGGGC